CAACACAGAGCCGCGCAAGGCCACCAACAAAGGCGCCCCAGCCACCGGCAAGGAGTGCCCACCAGGACCGCCGCCCGCCCCCAAGGAAGCTCACTGGGGAGTCCAACCGCGCCGCCATCGCCGTTCAGCCGGCGGGACGCCTGGAAACCGATCGAGTAGCCCGTCCACCTGCCACCGCCGCTGCGCCTCCGCCCCTACCAGCCATGGCCACGGCAGAGGCGGACGCCCGCAGCCCACGCCGCCTGGGCCCAGATCTGGACGCATGCCGACAGGGTCAATACTGCCGGAGCCCACCGTGCCCACCACGCCTCAGCCCCTTCACGCCGCCACCCGCAGCCCGCGTCTCCGCCGCCTGCTGCTGCCACGCCGCCGTACCCCGAGGAAAGCGCCGCGCCGCCACCCGATATTGGATCTCGCGACCGTCGGCCTGGGCGGGGGAAGGAGGAACACCCCGCCGCCGCCCGCGCTGGCTGGGCCTAGCCCACCAGCACGTCGGGGCGGCGGCGAGGGGAGGGAGGTACGAGGAGGAGGGCCGTGGCCCGGAGCTAGGGGCCCCCCCGGGCGCTCGCGGGAGGGGAGGGAGGGGACTGCGACGATCCGCCTAAAACTTTACTATCCGCCCCGACGAAACCTTGCCACCACACCGCCTCGCGCCGGCTGCCCCGCACCGTCTTGCGTCGCCCTCACCAACGACCGTCATGCGTGTCACTTGACTGGCGGGTCCTACGCCATTATCTATTTTTGTCTAACTAAAAGTAAAATAAAAGTAGATTTAGGGGGAGATGTTTACTGGACTGATAAAAGTAATTCTGGGACAACTTTCTCTAAATTTTACTGTTAGTTTTATGGGAAGTTTTTCGAAGGAGCTGTTGAAGTTGCTCTAAGGCTGGTCATAGTGGGAGTAACTTAGCAAGTAACATAGCGCATTCCAAGACAAGTTTGTTTACGTGGCATATAGATAATGAAGAGAGAAGTGTTTGGAGTAACATAATATGTTACTGTAACATAACACAACCCAAAGCAAAATGAGTCTATAGTGTAATAAATGCAATCATCTATGATACTATTTGTATGTTATTTTGCACTATGAAAATAGTAACAAAGACTAATGTCATATGCATGACACTAGTCTAAGTTACTCCCCGTTATGATCAGCATGAGGCCGTGACCCCACATCCCGTGCGCAGGGTCTCCGCAATTTTTTATGTTCGCGCGCGCTCGGCGAGTGGCGGGCGTGGAGGTCGCCTTCGCCGCCGACATCACAGCGGCTTTCGGGCTGTGCTCTGCTCCACCACCCAACCACCCTTTCGACGTACTCCAGGAGGATTCAACCGGCTGTTACCGGAGCCCGCGCCGTGCTGCGCCCGTGCGACGACAACGCGACAAGGTACGAGCCTCGCTCAGTTCTGCAAATCCCGGAACTCTTGGTCTAGACCTCGCAAAAACCCTCTTCTCTTTCTAATTTTGGGATATGTTTTCCAAGGATGTTCCATGATGTGATTATTTCATGCCGCGCACATGCTATGAAAATACCAACTTCGCGCGAAACATCAGTGTTAGCTGGAGGAAACCAAAACAAGATGTCCCGATGCATGCCAGGTGTTTGTTAGAATGCCGACTTAGGGATACATTTGAAAACATGTCTGTTAGTGGTGCGAAACAATGCCCGCACTTTCTACGAAACCCCCTAAATCCCTAAACCATCCGAGTGGCCGACAGGTGACAATCTGTATGGGACATGTGAAGTTCTTAAATTCACGAGAAAAAGAATGTAACCTTGTACGTATGAAGCAAACACTTGACTAGATGGTTCTGTTCAACCAGGTTTGAATAGGTATGGCAGTGTGCTTAAACAAGATTTACACGTGAAAATTAGTACAAACAATCATCCGACTGGGACCAGTGTTGGCAGACTGGATGCCTAGGATAAGTTGAGCTTTATGTATGAACTATAAACATACTTAGCTGTTGTATGTCGAGCTACTTCAATCCAAACTTTTACCATTTTAGAAATTTATTTAGCTGGAGGCTGCTTTATGTAATACCAGCTAGCTGAGCTAGAAACGACTTGAACTTGAAACAGGTGCCACTCTTGTGCCAAAACTTCTTCTAAACCCCCAAGAGACAGCTGAAGCATTGTGCCTGTGGCCACTTGGTTGTAGACCTATGTTTTGCATCTCTTCTCCAGCTTCATTACCTCTTTCATTTCCTTCTGCCTGATCTCCCTTTGGTTCAGGTTGCGTCTTAGTTGTTGAGTTTTTCTTTTCATAAAAGTAAATCACCACGGCTATCAGAAGAGAAGAAGTTGAAACAACTCCACTAAGTATAAAAAGTCCTGTAAAACCATCAGGTGTGAGTTTTTCTGGATCAGGTGCACGCCCCGCATTGTTGCAGTTGTTTTGATATCCGATTCCGATCCATTTCTTCTCAATTTGATTAATAGTGTCTCCTCCTATTACGCTCAGGATTGCCTTTGAGATGTCCCCAACTAGAGGAGATCCTTTTGGAAATGCCTGTTAAAGAAATTGAGTGTCCTGTTAGCTTATATCATAGCTCCAGCACACTTCGTATCCTGCTACGGTGATGCCTAACGCAAGATGAAATTGAACCCATGTGGTAGCAAAGAAGTCCAGATTGTCATGAGACTAAGTGTTATAGAAACTAACTCTGGTGCACATACATGAACTTATGTGGCAGCGCATATTGCTTGGTAAGAGCTAAGAAATTTAAATTCTTCTTAATATATATATATGAACGTATGTGGCAGCACATATTGACTTGGGAAGAAGTAAGAAACTACTTAGAAATGAACATGCATAATAGATTATATATTTATGTGATAAACAAAGAGGATTTTTTCACTTGTATGGGTGAGTTGTACACGATTTCGAATTGAGTACTTGTGTATCTTAAAGAGAATTAGTGTTTTTATATTTATTTTTTTATGCACAAACTGCATCCAGAATTATGTAATACCCATAGAAGCACATCTTGTTTTCCCATTAACAAGTGGTGATACCATCCACTTACTTAGGTAATAGCAGTATAGCACCTGTGGTGGCATAAATCATTATCAAATTTCAATGATAAAATCAATCATTGTCAATTCATACAGTGGTCTTTTAGGGTATGCCACTGTATAGAATGTAATCCATTATTTGCCACTCCAGAGGTTGATTACTTCATGATTTGCCATATTGACTTTAGCAGTTCATATTTATTTCTCTATTGCTCTTTTTCTTGAGAACTACATGTCTTTCCACTAAGAAGAGATTAACAGTCAATGCGTTACTGGCTTGAGATAGCCTATGTTTCTGGATTAAATGAAAGGAAGAAAGGCATGACCTGAAGAAAATGAATTGAGCTGCTGAAATGACAAACAGATTAAAAAAAATGATCCACAACTCGAACTACCCAACTGTCCAGCACCCAATCCATGCAGGATACTCTGACAATAAACCATTCTCTGGACTCTTCCTTGATTGTTGACACTAAGCACAAACAGAAAGTTGTGGTTAATTGGAAACCTTGTTATTCCTCTCCTTCCACACCATCTGAGAAACCAGGATGAGAAGGTACCAAAGCCCTTTCTTAAAATACTACTGAGTACTGTCCACATGCGTCCTGGAAGTGATCCACCAATCACCATACTTTAACTCTCCTTATGAAATGCAAAAAAGGGGGTTTCTTATCTCGCTCACTCCACACCGCACATTCTCAAGGAATCTGGTGGTTCTCACTGGCTACAAGGACAAGGCCAAACTGGTTATGATGGTTGGCACTGTCTTTCTGGTTGAGATGCGGGGGTAGATGATGCCCAGGTGTGCCCATGACATGCTATCACTGACCAGCCCCGGCATTTAGTGATGCATGAAGGCGTTGGTGGTGAACAAAACTAGGCGGAGACCACGGCTATGCTGTGATTTATTATGTATTTGGAGTTGAATCCATGCTTTTTGATGTGTTTATAACTTTATATTCTTGGTTAGCTATGGTGAAGTAGATCTTGACCATAATGCTACAAAGTTTTATCAAGTTGCAAATAATGGATTTCATCTTGCATAGTACTCCCTCCGTTCCCAAATATAAGTCTTTTTAGAGATTCCAACAAGTGACTACATATGGAGCAAAATGAGTGGATCTACACTCTAAAATATGTCTACATGCATCCATATGTTCTAGTCCATTTGATATGTCTAAAAAGACTTATATTTAGGAACGGAGGGAGTAGTAAATCCTACATGACCGCTCTATGAACTGGGATGATGAATTTTCTTGACTTTATTTGGATAATATTGTTTGTATATGTAAGCTGAATTTTGAGCTTCCTTGTGGGTGTTTTTGTTCTTAAATTCATTTTGCAATTGTCTCCCCAAATTTATCTCTTCAAAGTCTTTTTAGTTTGATTTCTGATTATATTAACTTGTAATTTGACTATTTCCCTACTAGCATGTCCCTTGGAAAACATGTAGCCTTTAGTTCATATGTATGTAGAGTTGATCACTTTAATTGCAATAGTATTCACTTAGCTCTCTTCTTCCCTTTATTGCCACACCTGGTCATATTTATGGATGATTGTTTACAGGTTCATGTATTATGGCATGCACTATAATACTATATTCACGATTGTTTTCATGTTTTTTGAAAACCTTGAGATACATCAACTTGATATGGTAGTAGCAACTGTACCCAAGCTCATATGCGACTTCCTGAAAGAAAAATAAATAAATACTAGACACCACTAGTAATAGGCTAGTAGCACACTTTGTTGATTCAGTGTACAAGAGTTATGTGATTAACGGCCATTTTATTAGTAAACATCAAATGTTCACAAAAGTGCATATGGTAATTATGTGAGCATTGGTTCAGTATCATTTCCCCTCTACTCATTCACTTAGGAATTAGGTATGCAAAGCTAGCAATGGTCACATCTTAAATAAAACTAGCAGTGATGAGATGCGTACAGGAATGTCTATGATATATTCGTATTTCAAACAAATTTAATGACTGTCAGCTTCAGAGACATAGTGCAAACAGACAGATGAAAGTTTGTTACTTACATATCCAAAACCCGCTGCTTTATAAAATGGAACCATAGTGTACCCTTTGCAGTTCCTTGCAAGAAATAATCTGATGTATGGGACTTCATGAATGAACGCAGCAATTCCACCATTTTTGCTTCCCTTTGAGAGTGCACTGTAAAATCCATCATAGGTATTATAGGTCTTGATCTTCGATCCGTCGAAATTGAGTTGTTCCAATATTCTCTCGACGTAGGAACCACGAATGCATCCTACATAGTCCCCACTTTTACGGAGTTCATGGATATCAGTTATAGTTGGATTTAGCTGTCGTATGGTAAGCATCGTTGCCAAGTTCACGGTGTAGCTTGCTGACAATACAAGGAAGAAAAATACCCATACAATCAAAACTATCCGAGATAGTAAGCGTTCCACTCTGTCCTCTGAAATTTTTTATATGGACTTCAATAAGTTTTTCTGTTATATGAAAGGAAAATGCAGGAACCCACATAACTGCATAATGTAGATGAAAGTCATGAAACTTAATATGTAAATTTCTACATAAGTACATATTGTGCTTATTAAGTTCTTTTGATTGTGGAAATTGTTTGGTAGTCTAGTTATGTTTATAGAGGGAGTACAATATTTCTACGACAGAAGCTATTGCGTTAAATAAGGTACTGAAATGACTTACAAAGTAACCTAGCCACTTCAGCTTTGTTTTGTACACCCCAGGCCTATCCAACTGCAGGAGAATCTAATTTTCTAAGCTATCTCTACACATTCACATTCTTGCATCATTCAGGCAACCAGAAGCATGTCTATTCACTACAACTTTGTAGCTTTGTTTGTTGCACCAACATTAAAACACTGTTTCTTCATGCAACTTGATACTTCAAGTAAGATACTATGCAAACGTTCATTTTCTTTTAAGGAACGGAAGTATTTTGATAAATATACTCACTGTCTCCAAACAGGGAAAAGAAGGTCATAATTCCCGAGCTTTCTGGGAACTTCGTCCGGGATATTTGTGTTATTTCCAAGAAACTCCAATAGCCAGAGAACAACCCATGTGTAGAAAAATAATATGATACTTCCGAGCCACAGGTCACGTGATAATGGCTCAACGAAAATCCATGTGTTGTTAGTTCTGCTGCTCTTGGCTGGAACAACCATTGCCACTCCTGATTCTGTGTACGGTAGAGCGAAGTCGACATAAGACATTCTGTTCTCTGAGATTGTTATGTCTCCAATTGCTATATCGTATTTCTGCAAGTGCATCAAACAGAGTTACTTTACTGACCAGCAAAATGATGATGCTTAATCTTTGTTATGAAAGCTGTAACTATGCCATGAGGATATGAATAGGTTAACTGAGAAGAGCCTAACTATGCCATGTGTTCTTATCATGTAAAGATGACGTGTATATTCCTTTGATATTGTATTTTACCTTATGAGTTGCAAGCAACAGATGGCATGTTACAATTTTTTGCTACAATAGCATAGTACTTACAAGAATGGTTACCAGACCAATAGGGAAGCATGATATGGTGGTTATACACACTATACAATGGAGAAATATGGCCCCAATTAGAATTCAATTTGGGTATTTATCCTCGTCGTATCCTTTATATGGAAATCCAGGGCCAGGGGATCATTCCCTTGACTCTTACTGATGATATTTTACTCCATCAGAAATTGAACAAAAAGCTGCCAAATTGGCCTATTTCTTGCGCGTAGCTACCAATTGAAGTATTTTGAGGATTTTTTTAAACTGAATTGGATGGAGAAAATAAGAACTGGAAGAAGAAAAGTTTTCTCAACAGGGGGAGGAAGTCCCTTCGAAATTGGATTTGTTGCTGTAAGGGGATTTTCAAGTATTATCTAAAGGAAGGAACAAACGAGGATAAGAGAAAATTCCTTTTAATTTACTTTATCCAGGTGAGATTTATTGCATACTATTCTTCCATTTTCATCCGAAAGGACTTTAAAAAAATAATCTATTTCACTATCTCATTCCATCTAGATCTAAGAAAGAACCCAATGCACTGAAATTCCTGCTCAAAATCTCCTCTCAATTGCAATACATTATTTGGGTGGGTTGTGTGCTATTATCTTTTACATGGTTGCATTAAACTTAAATGTAGTATTTGTTTGCATTGGGTTCTTGGGTAATACATCTGATTAACTTATAGAGTTCTTGGGTAATTGTCATTAACTTATCAAGTTTAGTTACGTTCATCCAAATATTGAGAGGATCGAAGCCAGATCAGGTGACATATGCACCAAGAAGACCCTTGTTTGCATTGTCATTAACTTATAGAGTTCTTGGGTAATTTGTTCATTAGATGCCGATAGAGGGATCACACTCCGATAGGGAACGCGAGCATCAATTTCTTGGAGGGCGTCGATGAGATATGGTATGACACCTCTACCATAGTCAGTTTCTTCATAAATTGGCACCACCTGTCTCCACCCGCAGGCCTTGATTAGGGAGGCAATGCTATTCACTTGTGTAGAGTCACTCAATGTTGCACGAATAAAATATGGAAGACTGCCAGAGTAAAGAGATGGGCTTGTTGCTGTGAAGGAGATGATAGGGACCTGACTTTTATTCCCGAGATCCGATACAAATGCTGCTTGTGAAGATGTTTGAGGGCCTATGATAGCTTGGACATTGTAATTCTCTAGCAGGTCGAGAGCTGTAAAGGTTCATAATCAAATTTTATTTGATTGCAAATATTTGCTGCGAGAAGTTTCATAAATTCAGAATCGGAGAGTAAAAAAATGACATAGTATTTACAAAATATATATGTTGGTTCAGAGCACTCTGTAGCTATGCTTTTGTTGTCCTAGTTAACTTAAACTTGTGCAAAACAGGATTGAAAATTATTACAGATTTGCAGATGAAACTACAAATTTGAACCCACAATATTTGGATGAACGTAACTAAACTTGTCAGTATAAAATATAATTACAGTTTGGTCTGTTTACTTGAGTTGTTTTGAAATATGACATTTATAACCTGTATTACTAGTTACGCTGATAAATAGTGCTTATTTTACCTTTGATTTCATCACAGAACTTTTAGAAGCCTTTTATGGAGTATATTCAATGTTCTTTTACTACAATAACAATTCTAAGGAATGCTTGACTCTCCTTTTTCCATTTCAGGTGAGATAATCATAGGGATATTTCCTTGATCCATCTGGAGGATTTTTTCAAGGTATTATTGTGTGATTTTTCATTTGGAAATAAACTTCATATTTCCATTGACAAAAGAGGGTCCTCGAGTAGAAAGATTATTGCTAATAACGCCATTCGATTTCTAAGACCACATCCTACAATCTTTTTCCTATTTCCTACTGATCTGCTATGTTCTGTTTTTCTTGTGAATAGAAACAGTTGATTAGTGAATCTCTCTGTTAGTACAGAGAGAACAGTCCAGATACGAAGGGACTTCAACACTGTGGCTCAGGTCAAGCAACCGCTTCCACAGAACTTTATCATAAAAAGCATGCTAAAGCACTTGCCCAGCAAAGATTAGCTATGCATTGTCGAAAATTTATGTAATGAATATGTCATACGATTAAATTTCACAGACTACAGATGACCATACATCTGAAACCATGAGTAAATCTATAATCTCTGGGTATTGAAATTTGAACAGTCACTTCACAACAATTAGGTGGCTAACCGGATTATAACCAGGTAGCAACTGGCAGGAATCATTTTTGTTGTTAAGGTTTCTCAGACCAACAAACCCATCAAGGGAAAGCTAAGGTAAACATAATCGGGTTATTAAATATGTATGCACTAACTTTTCTGAGAGTAAAACTCATATAATATTTCCTTGAAAAGAAGTGTAAATATTTGTTGGCAATAGTAAAGAGTTTAGTAGCCAAACATTGTCCTTTTGATGTTTCTAAACTTTAGCAGGAGATATATGCTCAAAGTACTTCGTTTAACAGGAATGTAATAAACTAGCCTTGTTAGTGTTTATTTATTTGATTTACAACTGTTCTTTCCATGGACATTTGTTAGTTGGATGTCTATTGTTAAACAGATGAAGTATTATATATGGAGCACGTGGAAAGTAAAGATATAGCCAAAAAAAAACACTCGTTCCTAAGTAAAAACCATTAAATCCTTTTGATAAATGTTACTATCAAACGCTTCCAACTTTGTCCATTAGTAGTGGTACATTGGTAAATAACCATGTTGATTCTATCAAAACTGTGTTCATAATATTGCAGTTTTGTAGCTTGTACTAAGTTGAATGATGAAAGTCAGTTATGTTCCTTTGCTCGCTGTGTTGAGAGTTCTTGCCCTTTCCACCAGCCTGATGTATGGCTTGGGGTGGAATTTAAACTTTTCTAGCTCAGCTACTTTGGTTTAGCCGAGCGCTGTGAACAGTAATCTGTGTTTTGCTTGCCTTGTTTAATAAAAGGGGTGGGGGGTGGGGCTTTCGATGAAAAAAAAACAGTTTTAGAAGTTGTTTTTTTACGACAGCGTAAAAAGTTGTACTTCAAAGACAATATGAAGTTGAGAAAGCATATTTGTAAGCAATGGAGGGAGTAGTAAAGAGTTTTTATTTTTTATATGGGCTGCAGAACTTTTACCTGCTGATGCAGCTTCTACGCTGTTACTTTTGGAGTCCCTGATGTGGAGAACTACCTTCGGGCTGTAGTTTCTGTGGACCGTATAGAAGTCTTCCAGAGCCATCAAAAGGCTGGTCCGCGCCATCTTGCCCCGCAATGATTCCAAGTTGAGGATCACTCCAACGGGGAACTCATCTGCTCCACTCGTGGTAGCATTTTGAGCTATGCCGGAGTGGATGATGAGTAACAGGAAGAAGGTGATTTGAGATGCTCTCTCCATTGACGGTGCTGCAAGGTTTGTGAAGTATTTTGTGCCCAGAATCCAAGCCTACTGTGGCTTTTATAAAGTTGGTTTCTTCAAGCTAAAAGCTTAGCATGATGACGTAGGTGACTACTCTTCGATGCCTTGAGCCATGCATATTTTATTGCAGAAAGAATGTTACTAATTTCTACCTCATTTCAGTTGTAGTTTCCGAAGGTCAAATGACGTAGCACGGCCGGCCAAGAATTTAAATACTAATAGGTAGCTTAGGACATGCTGCAGTGATGAGTTCTATAATAGTGGAGCACTCCTTCTCTGCATGTTACCCAGGTACTTAAATACTAACTGACCAGTAGCTCCTTCCATTCAATCTTGCAATATATCACTTGAAAGTGACAGGAGCTGTTATCTAATTGTTTTCAAACGTTTGCTCTGTTTCCTGAAGCAACTGAATTCTGTTGACACGATTTTTGCTGTTTATATAAATTCCAATTGCCCCCTTTTAATATATATGTCAAAACCAGATGAATGTGACAATCAGATTTCTCTACGCCAGAATGCCGGTGTTGACATTTGAGAAAGGGAAATTTGTGGAATTATCTTGACTGCTTACTTGTAGGAGAGAATGGATTGCCGGGGTAGTCTTGTTGTGCAAAGAATTATATCTACGTAATTACCGAAACCTATATGGTGATTCGTGAAAAAAAATACTATATGGTGTATTTTGTGATGAACATACGTAGCCTCTCTAAAATTTATTTTGCGAAATTTCTATCAGATGAACTTCAGCTTGTTTGTTAATATTGCTGGGTTGCTGGTCTTTTCAATTTACTGTAATTTAGCACGGCTGTTGAGTGGAAACCTATAATTTTCTAAAACAATGATAACAAAGTCAGACACGAACTTGCAAAGAGGTTGTGTATCAGTTTGAGCTGTCTGATCTCCATAATACAATAACATTTTAGTAGATGTCAAGGAGGTGTGTATCAGTTTGAGTGCACTACATAATGACAATCATATTAGCGTATTATAAGTGATACCAACAGAGAATTGTCTCTTTTTTTTTGCGATCAGAGAAGTTATCTGTTAATGAAAATATTGGCCGACCATCTGCTACTTGCAAAGTTGAGTCACCTTTCGTAGAAGAAGGTGCAGAAGTATGACTATTTGTGTGGCGTAGAAGAAGAGATACCCCTGTATTTTTAAAGTGATGGCTGTGCAAATTCAAGGAAATTCCCTAACCCAAGAGGACTGAGCTGGACAGATTCCTCAATTAACCAATGGGATCGCAAGGAAGAAGTCAAGGAACTCGTATTTGGCAGTGACAGAGGCTCCTGCTCTTCTATGGAGTACTATAATAAGTACTATAATAAAGTTGTGTGCGTAGTTATATGTTTTTTTAATAAAAAGGGAGCCCGGTAAGGACATGCACCTCTCTACCCCTCGTACTAACAATTCAGCAAAATGCACACATACAAAGAAAATAGCTGATGTCAGCACAAGGTATATCTATCTTGACATTTCAAAAACACATTACTTTCAAACCAATCAACCAAATCAAAACCTGCTTTCACTTTGCGTTCATAATTACAAGATCTTCAAAATTAGATCCCACATGAACATGTTTCGATAAATATTTTTGAAAAGCAACTTTCTCCTGAAAAAGCAAAACAAATTTATGAGCTTGCTTTTCTAGCACATGTCAATAAGTTGGGATTTGTTTTGAGTAAAAGTAAAACTAGATCCCAAGAAGACTGAGCAGGACAGATTCCTCAATTAGTTAACCGTGGGATCATGAGGAAGAAGTCAAGGAACTCATTTGGCACTGCCAGATGCTCCTCCTACTCTGCTACTATGATTTTATAGTTGGGTGTGTAGTATGTGTATGTCTTTTGTTTGTAAAACTATGCACCATTCTAGGCGCTTGTGTAAATGTAGCTAGTCGATTCCTCTCAAAAACTAAAAGCAATAAGTTAGTCAATGGCCATGCAGACAATTCTGTTGTAAATCCATGCCAATTTTTATTCTATAAATAACTCCTACTTTGGCCCAAGAAGCATTTCATGTTGTAATGTCAAGTTAATGTGCCTTTGTTTTGTGGTTGCAAGTAGCTGAATGATTATGCTGGACGTTTGAGAATCACGAAATGATTTTTATAGAAATTTGGAATCTTCAGGATTTTTTTTCTTACGATGATTGTTTGGTTTGTAGGATTGAATCCTACATGTTTTTTTTTCTAAGGATTCTTTTGTACTATATTTCATAGAAATTTCAGCGTTTGCTTAAACCCTTAGAAAGATTTTTTAATGCAATCAAACAAAAGAAAATCGTGTAGGAATATGATTCAAAAAGGCATTGATATCACGATCCTTTTGTTTTCCCCATTTCTATGTGCCCTCGGATGCCTATAGTGTTGGCAGCTCGTTTCGTGAATAATGACAGGATCAGTCAGACGTATGAATTATGATAGAAAGTGTTTTCTTGCAGTAATGGGAACACCAATGTGTTTTGTGTTTAACCGCCTCTGTGAGTAAAATGGATTTTCGGTGGTCGGGGGCAGTGGAGAACGATATTTTAAAGCCCCTAAAACAAGTGCTTAAATAATTTGAAAAAATTTGAATTCTTTTACATGAATACGCATGCATGTGGTCCAAGTACCTGTTAAATTTCGTTTGAAAATAAGTTATATTGTACGCTGCACAAAAAGACAAAATTTCTGACTCAAAGTTGAATAAAACTGGCCCTAAATTTGCATGTATTTTGTCTTTTTTTATCTCTGGCATGCAAGCACGTACATTGGTGAAATTTTGGCCCGCTATACTGCACTGCTTACGTGCATGTACACAAAATTTTAGAATTTTTTAAGCCGTATAAATTCTTTTTTTAACTTAAAAATGACGGGCACAAAGTGCCCGTGCTCAGATGTCAATTTTCACTCTGTGTGAGCGTAATTTATATGCATCTTAGAGCATCTCCAGTCGTTGGCTCCCAGGAGGCGCGTAAATCACTGCCTGGGAGCGAGCCGGCGCTAAAAATTGGCGTGGGGGCGAGTGGGTTCCCAGCTGCCGATCCCAGGACTGCCCCCCAGACGCCGTTTATGTTTTAGAAAAAAAGGTATTTTGGCAAAGTTCGGCAAATTGGACAACTTATTCGGTTAAAATTCGGCAAATTTGCATTAATTTGACATGTTCGACATTACATAACAAAGTTATTTAGAAATAACAAAGTTATTTAGAAAAGGGCCGCAACTACAACTTAAGGGCCGAAGAAGTCGCTGAGCGCGGCGAAGTCGCCGACGTCACCGCCATCCTCGCCGTCGTCGCCGGCGGCCTTCTCCTCCTTGACGCGGCCGCCCCTACTGGACCCCTGCCCGGCGTCGCCCTGGTGGACCGGTGGCGGCGGCGGCGCTATCGTCGAGGACGAGGACGATGACGCCTTCTCCTCCTTGACGCGGCGCCCCTCGCTGTTCTTGACGCCGCCCACCATCGGCGCCCCGTTGGTGGACGCCTGCCTCTGCTCCTGGCGGTGCTGGAAGTACGCCGCCCACGACGCGTGGTTGTCGGCGGCGTACTGGGGGAGGGCGCGCTTCTCCTCTGTCAGGAAGGCTCGCACGCGGTCGACCTCGATGGCGAGGCGCGCCTCGACGTGGGGTACCGGGGGAATGGGGACGCCCCCGTTGCTGAGCCTGCACCCCGTCGGCCTGGCGCGCATGTCCGGTGACGCCGGGATGTTCGCCTCGAAGAGCAGTCAGGCCTCCCACTCGCGGAGCGAGTGGCGGCCGAAGCCGTTGGCCGCTGCCGCATCGCCGGGGAATCGCGCGGCCATCGGCTTGGGAGAGAGGGAGAGGGGAGGGAAGAAGCGTCGGCGGGTGGCTGCGCACGGGGAGAGTGGCAGAGCTCGGCGGCGGTCGGCGAGCGGCTGTGGGCTGGTGTGGCCAGAGGCGAGGGAGGCCACTGGTTTATACAGCCCCGCACCGTGTGTACGCGTGGCGGGAGGGAAGGCGTCGCCGCACCGCCTCGTGACGCGCCGCCTGTGATGAGGAATCAATGGCAAGGCTGCCGCCCGCCATTGATTCCACGCGAGAAACCGAGACGTTCCGACGACGACGAGGCGCGCGTCGCTGACTCGACGGCCCGCTGCTCTTTCGCGCCAAAACCGTTCACCCCGGTGCCCCCCAGCGTGCCAGGTTCGGCCTGGGTCCGCCGGCACTAATTTTGGCCCAAGCCGACGAAAAAGGGCTCCTGGGACGCGACTGGCCGTTTTTTCGGCTCCGGCGTGAAAAAATCGAGTGGGGGCCGTGGGGCTCGGCTGGAGATGCTCTTAACGTTGAGCAGCTATGCTGACGAACCAGGCCCACATGTCAGACACCCTGCTCCTTCCCTATCTTCGAGCCCCGCGGCCTCCGTCCTCCGCCTTCCACCGCAACGGCTCCTCCGCATGCCGCGCTGAGGGGCTCGCCCGCCCGCCGTCGCGACAGATGGAGGAGCCCATCCGGTGCGCGGCGACCCTGGCGGCAATCAGCAAGGTACGTCGAGATTCGATCAGTTCTGCCGAGTGCAAACTTCCGAAATGAACTCTTGCTTCCCGTCCCTCCTTAAGATCGAAATTCGGTTCCTACCATATGCGTTCGCGAATGTGCTACCGAAAAATTTCGCAGAACACTAGTTTGATGTGGGTTGAGATTTCTGGGGACAGACGGATACTGCAGCCAAGGTGTTCGTTAGAATGCCCGCCTCGTATTTTCCAGCTCGCGAAAAGAAGTGACGATAATTGGATGGTCCACGTCCACCTCCTTTCCGTGTGAAAACCTGAATGTATAAAGCATTTACAGAAATAGTCTCTTAATTTTTCAAGGAGTGTATAGCCTTGATTTTTCCTGGAAAAGTACAACAGTACATGATATACCGAGACAGGTGATGCCCGGAAGGGTGAAGCATAATAAGACAGACTGAAACTTTACTTGATTTTGGTGTTTTGCATCCATAGGAAGCTCCACATACCCAAAGTTCTGCCGGGCTTTCCCCGCAGTTAGTTGTGGATCTTTGAGCTTGGAAGGTGATCTTTGCTCAGCTTGGAACTAGCTTGATCCACTCAATTACATACTACTTTTGTCGCCCCTGTGAATGGTTTGCGGACCAATGTGAGTCAGCGACGTTGCCTTGTTCTTTTGTGTGAATCCACGGCCTATATGGTTGTTCTTACTGTTCTGGTAGCTGGTCACTCTGTGTTCGAACTGAGTGGCACTGTCAATGTTGTCTGCTTCTCTATATCACTGCAGTTTCCGTGTTCATTGCTGTTTTGATCTCCTTGTTCTTCCTGTGAATGTCCATTTTCTCCTTGTTGCCCGTGTCCACATTCATTTTGATCGTCTTCTTTGCTCCATGCATTTTGTTGATATTTTTTGTAGAGGTTCATCAGCATGGCTACAGCAAGGGAACAGGTTGTCACAATCCCAGTTAGGCCTTGTTCGTTTAAACCTCCTCTCAAGAGGATTGGAGTGGATTGAAGGGGATTTTGACTTGCAGGGGATCTAATCCCCCTCAATCCCTGCCAATCCCCTTCCAAAACCGCCTCAACCGAACAAGGCCTTAGGAGGAATAACCCCCCAAAACTTTCAAAAGTGATAGCGCCTGACCCATCAATTTTATCCTCATGTTGATGGCTGTTTTGATATATCCATTTCTTTTCAATTTCATTGATACTATCTTCTCCTGTTATGTTGAGTATTGCCCTTGATATTTCAGCTCTTAGTGGTGATTGCTTGGGAAGCGCCTGATTACCAAAGAGATCATTATTATAAGCTTGCACAAGCTAACATACAGAGAATTCTATTCATCATAATATCTGACTATAAAAGCCTGAAAAGTAAAATTTCCATTGGGCTGAATATTCTTAGCTAACAAGATATAATGGAAGATGGTCAATGATGGTGTTGCTTAGCAGCAGTACCATACTTTCACACAATCATACTAAAAGTTGCTCAAGCAGTACAAAAATCCAGTAATCTGACCATAGGGCCTGTTTTCAGGTTTAGTTTGTGGTTGTTGTATTGTGATGTACTCCTAGTGTCAAAAAACGTCTTATATTTTGATACGGAGAGAGTTACTTATTTTTGAAGTTGCTTTAAGAAGGAAGTTGTGAAAAGTCTATTACTCTGTTTGATAAATCAGACTAGAGTTAGATATAGTGTTATCGAATGGTTGACCTCCCACATTACATCTCATATGTTCTCGAATGCAGATTATGCAATTCGTTTTAGAAGAGGAAAAAACAGACTAACTAAACGCCAAGGTTATCTAGAAGCAATCCATCCAACCGAGATTATTTATCATAAAAATGAATGGCTTAAGGGGGTGAAGTCCCTCTGTGCTTATATTTTGATACGGAGAGAGGCTCCTGGAAATGTGACCACGAAGGGTCGATCCCAGGCTGGTGGAAGACCACCAGCACGGCTACCATCCAAGCTATTGCTTGGTCTCCAAGATTATTTATCATAATCCACTGCAGTGCCAAATGGAAATATCAGCTCATATAATTTTTTTGATAGAAAATGGATGGATCTATTTTTATGTGATGGTTGTTGCTTGCCTCTTCTATATTGTTGTATATGGTAGTTAAGCTTACATTGATGATCCCCCATAGGGTGCGGTCAGTGAGAGTTCATTATTGGGGACAGACAGACTAGAAAAGGGCATCGTTTTCACTTTGACATTTATCTCCACCCTTTTTCAACTTTTCATCAGTCAACTGGAAGATACATTATTCACCGTATGCTATTAGATAGCCTCACTATTTCTATTTTTATTTCGTAACTTCGAATTTGTATATAGCAATCTTAGGGGTCATGGTATGTAGAATTGAAGGAGACACATGAGTATAACATTTTGCTTGACTTGTAGCAAACTTCAAGGCAGAATTGTCATTCAAGAGATTAAAACAAAGCAGCCTAGTGAGTGTAGTTAAACTTACAAATGCAAAACCTGCACTCTTGTAGATAGGTCCCACCATTGTGTAACCTTTGCTGTACTTTGCAAGAAACAGTTTGATGTAGGGGATTTCATGTACAAGCACAGCAATGCCACCATCTTTGCTTCCTTTAGAAAGAGCAGCAGCGAAATCTTCCTGTGTTTCGTAGGGCCTCATCTTTGATTTTTCAAAACCAATATCCACCAGTAGACCCTCTATATAGGAACCACGGTGGAACCCTACATATTCTCCTTTCCTCTGGAGTTCATGAACATCAGTCACTGTCGGTGAAAGCTGCTGTACAGTCAGCATTGATGCAAAGCTTGCTGTATAACTTGATGTAAGTACCAGAAAAACAAACATCCATACAAGTAGAACAATTCTGGATAGAAATCGTTCTAGCTTCTCCTCTGCAATAATGATGAAGATATTATTGAGACAGTAAACAAACTTGAAAGCTGGGATGCTGCAATGCATAACATTCCAGGACTTGATTGGGATACTGCAATGCATGCCATTGCAGGACTTGCTTGAAAGCATATGCAATATCTATTTCTTGATATGATAAATGCAAGTCTTACCATCATTTTTTCAATTGACGCTATAATTTTTTTTCCTTTAGTGAAGCGCAATTATGAAGAACAGGTGTATTGCTTTCATGTTTCTAAAGCAGATACGTACTAGCATTAGTTCATCCCCAGCTAGATTTGAACTAAAACCACAACAATAATTATGGAACGAAGGGAGTACTAATTAGACAGATCTAGGTTCTTATGCTGAGAAACATTAAGATAAGTTTAACTAAAATGGGGTCATACAGATGATTTTCTTTCCTAAAAGTTGTGGAGGTGCAGTTTAGTTAGATCACTGCAGTAATCTTTTTCGAAGGAATCTTTCGGCGCTTCTTATTTTCATGTAGTGCAACGTATACTTTGTCTATGCAACTGAAATACTTGTTCAAAATTAAGCAAAGATCTAGGAAACTGTAATGTTTACTCAACTCTCTTCAAAAATGGAGAAGAACATTGTAATCCCCACTTGTTTGAGTGAAAAGGGACCATGTACATGTTGATTGCCATTTAGGTACTCCAGAAGCCAGGCAACAACTCCTGTGTAAATAAAGAATATGATGCTTCCAAACCACATTCCAGTGCTCAATGGTTTCAAGAAAATCCACATATTCTTGATCATGTTTTCCTTGACTGGAACAATCATCCCTACTCCAGATTCTGTGTACGGTACAGTGAAGTCGACATACAATGATCTATTGTACCTTACAGTAATATCTCCAACCGCTATGTCGTATTTCTGCAATGGCATGAATCAGCTTCATATATTTGAGAAATAAGAAAGTGATGATCTACTTCTAAGAATGATTAAACACTGGAAGTAAATTGTTCAATAAGAGGAAAATATTTTAGCATGCAAAATAGACTTTTGATTTGCTTTGAGAAAAACAAAATACAATGAGCCTTTCTATCTGACATCCTTCTATGTAAAATAAAATAGGAGCCTGGTTTCAATTGAAAGCAGAACAAAACACTGGATGAAAATGTGGAACATAGTTAATATCTTGTAAAATGTTTTAGCTACTAGAGTTTTCTTCTTAACAGTGGAATGTATGCAGCTTCTAGTTTCTGCAATGGTAGATTAAGAAATTGAAACCAAATCTTTTGTAATGTATTTCTTACCTGAAGATAAACTTGATAAATAAAATCGTTATAGCTTCCTGTAGTTGCTGTATCAGCTGTGTCAAATGCCAGGTACTCATAAGTAAGTGCAAAAGGTAGCCTCTTTATTGCCTCCTCAAATATGTCAACTGAAAGGCCACTCGCACTTGTTACATTTGTAACAGGATCTCTGAATGTTTTTATAAACTCTGGGCAATTGCTCGTGTGCACACCGACTCTAAGCTTCTTACCACTTATAGGAATTTCCCAGCCCCTCGGTATTTCAGTTGACTCTCCTGGCCAAATTACAGGATTTAGATCAAGCATTGAGGCTGATCCTGCTGTTTTTAAGCCGTTTTGATTCAACTGCCGGGAAAGTCCACTTTTCACACTCCAAAACCCGATTTCTCTCCAACCTCTCCCAACCACATTTATTATTTGGAACACAGAAACTTTAAGCTGTTTGTCTGTAAGGTCAAAGTCGCCACTTATACCTCTAAACTTATTTTGTACAATTGCTGCTAAGAGTTTTGGACCATTTGGGGAAATAACCATGGATTCCGAGCATGTGGAGTTCTTAATGGACCATGGTTGCTTATTTGGGGCACTGGATATCCCAACCTTTTCTGCTGCCTGTGCTAATGCCCATATCGTATCATAGGCCCGTAGTCCAACAATGCTTAGTTTATTGAAGGGTGATTCATCTGGGTTATCCTGTTGGTACATTCTGTTCCACCTTATGGAGAAACTATCAAGCTCTTTTGATTTGGGGACATGGTACCTTACTCCCAGTACACCATTCATCACCTCAGTCACACTTGGATTGAGTGAGTCGATGATGTTTGCTACTCCGTTTGTAGTAATCCACGCAAATCCTTTGTCCATCATCCCTGCCTCTTTGGCCTTTTTAAAAAGAAGGGAAGTCATCGTGGATGACATATGAACAATAAACACCCTTGTTTGCATTGTCATCAACTTATAGAGTTCTTGCATCATGATTTCACTTGTTGCTGATGGAGGGATAACACTCTGATACGGGACATGAACATCACTCTCTTGAAGTGCACTAATGAGGTATGGTAGAATGCCTCTACCATAGTCGGTGTTTTCATATACTAGCACCACTTCTCTCCATCCATAGGCTTTTACAAGCGAGGCAATGCTATTCACCTGAGCTGAGTCATTCAATGTTGCACGCACAAAATATGGCATAGTATCTGAAGTGAGAGAGGGGCTTGTTGCTGTGAAGGATACTGTGGGGACTTTGGTTATGTTTCCGATCTTGGAGATGAATACAGCTTCTGATGATTTCTGGGGACCAATGATGGCTTGCAGTTTGTAATTGTCCAGTAATTCAATCGCTTTTGAAATTGCATAAGGAAATTTCGGTCAGATGGTATTGGTTTAATAATGTAGAAACAACATCATAGCACATAACAAAGCATATATATAAAATAATGGTGAGTTTAGGTTTTTGTGTTCGTGTTGCTTGTGATGTTTTCTATTTTCTTGATCATTTGACACCTATTTGCATAAGCCTTGTACGACTCCTATAACTAAGACTGCTTTTATCCTTTGGCGGCCGCTATGTAGGTTATGGTTTGCAATTGAAAATGAACATATATTTTCTCGGTCTGTGATTTTATAGACTCTGCTTGGCTTCAACTAGGGTTTTCCTACTAAGGAACTGATCAGATGCTAATCTAAATATGACTCTTGTTTAAGGTGTCAAATGCTTGATAACTCTAAATAATTTAAGTACAACTCTTGTTTAAGGTGTCAAATGCCAATATAAATATGTTTTTCTTGTTTAAGGTGTCAAACTATGGAAAATAGGAAAACTAAGTCCTTCCGTTTTCCTGAATCCTGACAACTTAACTTTGACATACTGCAGACACATACCTGCTGATGCAGCCTTTACATCACTGGCCATGGAATCCCTGAAATGGAGAACAAGCTTTGTGCTGTAATTCTGGTGGACCGCGTAGAAGTCTTCGACGGCCAATGAAATGCTGGTTCGTGACACTTTTCCCACCAGCGAGCCCAGATCGAGGATCACTCCCACATGGAACTCGTCTGCTTTGCCGGTGGTTGTGTTCTGAGCTACGCCGGGATCGACAAGGAGCAAGAGCAAGAGGAAGAGGATTGCTCGGGGTGTTCTCTCCATTCCGTGCTGCACGGCAAGGTTTTAGATTCTTTGGCGCTGAGATGCACTGCATTGCACCCTCTTATGTAGGATTCACTCGTTGAAGACTTTTCGGCTTAACAATTGTGTCACTGGTCAAACTGAAGGTTGCAAGGCAAATCCGCTCAGCTGTGACAGATTAGTTGTCTACTACCAGCATCTTTCGTCGTGTACTGTTTCTCTCTTGACTTTGGTGTTCATTTGCAGCTAACTGTTTCTCTCTTGACTTTGGTGTTCATTTGCAGCTAAATTACCGGGAATATCAACCGGAGTTGCCTCTGCATAAACTAGTAGTTCGCCAAGAACATATAAACAAACAGAGGAAGCAAGATTGCGTACTGCCCCTATCGGGATTTATAAGTGGCGCATGGGTTTTTAGATTTTTAATTTGACACGTATGTTTTGGTAGTCAAACTGAAGACCTGAAAACCCGTGTCCAACTTATAAATCCGGATGAAGAGAGCAGAATGAATGGATTGATGGATTATGTCCTCGATAAGCAATCTACATAAGGGTGGCGTGCCTACATATACTGTATTTGATTCGTAATTTGTCTGTTCCAATAAACGAGATTTATATTGCTTTCCTTGGGGACTTGTGCAAATAAACGCTCACGTTAAAATATTTTGTGGAGCGTTGACATTTCCTGCTTTTGAGACGTTAAAATATTTTGGCATACAAGGCAATACCAAAGATTACAAATTAACACTGAAACTCTTTGTAACCCTAAGGCATCCTCCTCCTTTATAAGACACTGAAACTCTTCGTAACCCTAGGCATCATCCTCCTTTATAAGACGGGGTCAGGGCTAGCCTAGAGACACCTTGCGTCCAATCTAATACTCTTGATAAAGCTTACTATTCTCCATTGTGATCCCCTCTCACATGGTACCCTTTCCATCAATCCAATCCAAGCAAGAGTAAGGTATTACCTCCATCATGAGGGCCCAAACCCGGGGTAAAATCTTCGCGTGCTCCCTCGTCTAATACTTCCAATCACGCACATCACCCTACGGTGACTACCTTGTTTCATACGCCGATAGTTGGCGCGCCAGGGGACTGTCTGTGTGGCCCGGTAAACCGATCTATATGGGGTCTCTGGTCCAAACTGGCGTCTTTGCTCCGAGCTAGAGGATCGCCATTGGCTACTTGAGCTTTGTCACCAACTTGGCAAGGCGACTCATCATCATTAGCGATGGAAGGTCTTGGCCGATTTCCTTGTCGAGTGGAGTGAGGCCCAGCAAATCCCCAAGTGTGTCGACCTCGAGCATTGGACGACGTACTTTGATGGCTCCATGATGCTTTTGGGCTTGGGGGCCGGCGTTGTCATGATGTCCCTGAAAAGGGGCAAGATGAACTATGTGCTCTAGATACACTTCCCAACCTCCAACAATGCAATCGAGTATGAAGCCCTCCTCCATGGTCTCTGCCTTGCTGTCTCCATGGGCATACGACGGCTCATCTATCGCAGCGACTCCAGTCTTATCGTTTAATGAGTCATGAAGCCCTTCGGTAGGAAGGATACAAAGATGGTGGCCTATTACTTCGAGGTGCGCCGACCCAAATGCCAGTTCGACACCCTCGAGCTTCATCACATCAAGAGCTCTGATGGTTGACACCCATGCGAGGATGGGCACACTTTAGGACCAGGTCTCGTCGGACACCTTGCCCCAACATCTCCATCAACCCTCCATCAAAACGGAGCCGGATCAAGAACTCGAAGGGTAGGGAGTGATGATATTGGCTGTAATCCTGGAGTGAACCAAACCAATCCTTGCTTATCTCCTAAACAAGGATCTCCCAGAGGACAGAAAAACTGCCAGGCTCTAAGGCAAGGGTAGGCGCCGTCGGGCAGAGTCCACGACTATTGTCACCGCCAGGTAGAGGTGGCCGAGCGTCTGCACTAGGTGGAGGCAGCCTGGTGGTTGCGCATCGAGCGTGCTGTGGTAGCCAAGCAGGCATGCTGCAACACCTGGCGAGTCTTCCGCCACTGGAAGGATTGCGGCTTGCGGCGGCCGGGCATGGATGCCACAACACTTGGCGGGTTTTTCATCACTAGAAAGATGACGACTCCGATGATGACAGCGGCACGTACGACGGCTCGGCAACGACATAGACGGCGGTGGAGGTCCCTATGGCCAAGGAGGTCATGCCTGCAAGGTCACCGTTCGGTACCCCATTTAGTTTAGTTTAGGTTAAAATTGTTGAATTTCATTCGTTTAGTTGTAAATGTATCAAATTAACAAATTGTGTGTGTTTAACATGAATTTCACGTGTGTTCGTGTTTAAAACATTTGAGCTGGTCCGCACATTTGTTGTCTACGGTTGGGTAGCCTCCGCCCCTATAAATGTCCGCAGACACGTCCGAACGTGTCCACGGCATTTGATGAGATCCATATTGATCATCCGCGTTGGAGTTGCCCTTGTTCCTAGCGTCACCGACAGCCACCCCTTCCTGAAAACCATTTAATAAATTGCCAGTATGCTTCAAATCTTAATCAACAACACATTTTAATCACATTATCATGTTGGAACACGTGGTACGCTACGCTTGAAGGAAATATGCCCTAGAGGCAATAATAAAGTTATTATTTATTTCCTTAATTCATGATAAGTGTTTATTATTCATGCTAGAATTGTATTAACCAGAAACTTAGTACATGTGTGAATACATAGACAAAGTGTCACTAGTATGCCTCTACTTGACTAGCTCGTTGAATCAAAGATGATTAAGTTTCTTAGCCATAGACATGAGTTGTCATTTGATTAACAGGATCACGTCATTGGAGAATGATGTTATTGACTTGACCCATTCCGTTAGCTTATCACTTGATCATTTTAGTTTACTGCTATTGCTTTCTTCATAACTTATACATGTTATGACTATGAGATTATGCAACTCCCGATTATCGGAGGAACACTTTGTGTGCTACCAAATGTCACAACGTAACTGGGTGATTATAAAGGTGCTCTACAGGTGTTTCCGATGGTACTTGTTGAGTTGGCATAGATCGAGATTAGGATTTGTCACTCCGATTGTCGGAGAGGTATCTCTGGGCCCTCTCGGTAATGCACATCACTATAAGCCTTACAAGCAATGTGACTAATGAGTTAGTTACGGTATTACGGAACGAGTAAAGAGACTTGCCGGTAACGAGATTGAGCTAGGTATTGAGATACCGACGATCGAATCTCGGGCAAGTAACATACAGATGACAAAGGGAACAACGTATGTTGTTATGCAGTTTGACCGATAAAGATCTTCGTAGAATATGTAGGAACCAATATGAGCATCTAGGTTCCGCTATTGGTTATTGACTGGAGATGTGTCTCGGTCATGTCTACATAGTTCTCGAACCCGTAGGGTCCGCACGCTTAACATTCGGTGACGATTTATATTATGAGTTATGTGATTTGATGACCGAAGTTTGTTCGGAGTCCCGGATGAGATCGGGGACATGACGAGGAGTCTTGAAATGTTCGAGATGTAAAGATCAATATATTGGAAGGCTATATTCGGACATCGGAAAGGTTCTGAGTGGTTCAGGTATTTATTGGAGTACCGGAGAGTTACGGGAATTCGTCGGGAAGTATATGGGCCTTATTGGGCTTTAAGGGAAAGAGAGAGAGGCAGGCCGCGCCCCCCAAGGCCTAGTCCGAATTGGACTAGGGGGAGGGGCGGCGCCCCCTCCTTCCTTCTCTTCTCTTTTCCCGTTCCTTCTCTCCTACTCCTACTACTTGGAAGGGGGGAATCCTACTCCCGATGGGAGTGGGACTCCCCTAGGGCGCGCCATAGAGAGGGCCGGCCCCTCCCCTCCTCCACTCCTTTATATACGGGGGAGGGGGCACCCCATGGACACACAAGTTGATCATTGATCTTTAGCCGTGTGCGGTGCCCCCCTCCACCATAATCCACCTCGGTCATATCGTAGCGGTGCTTAGGCGAAGCCCTGCGTTGGTAGCTTCATCAACACCGTCGTCACGCCGTCGTGCTGACGGAACTCTCCCTCGAAGCTCTACTAGATCATGAGTTCGTGGGACGTCACCGAGCTGAACGTGTGCAGATCGCGGAGGTGCCGTGCGTTCGGTACTTGGATCGGTCGATCGTGAAGACGTATGACTACATCAACCGTGTTGTCATAATGCTTCCGCTTACGGTTTACGAGGGTACGTGGATAACACTTTCCCCTCTCGTTGCTATGCATCACCATGATCTTGCGTGTGCGTAGGATTTTTTTTTGAAATTACTACGTTCCCCAACAGTGGTATCAGAGCCAGGTTAATGCGTATATGTTATATGCACGAGTAGAACACAAGTGAGTTATGGGTGATACAAGTCATACTGCTTACCAGCATGTCATACTTTGGTTCGGCGATATTGTTGGATGAAGCGGCCCGGACCGACATTACGCGTACGCTTACGCGAGACTGGTTCTACCGACGTGCTTTGCACATAGGTGCCTGGCGGGTGTCAGTTTCTTCAACTTTAGTTGAACCGAGTGTGGCTTCGCTCGATCCTTGTTGAAGGTTAAAACAACACTAACTTGACGAAATATCGTTGTGGTTTTGATGCGCAGGTAAGAACGGTTCTTGCTCAGCCCATAACAGCCACGTAAAACTTGCAACAACAAAGTAGAGGACGTCTAACTTGTTTTTACAGGGCTTGTTGTGATGTGATATGGTCAATACGTGATGAGATATAAGTTGTTGCATGGGATGATCATGTTTTTTTGAAGTTATCGGCAACTGGCAGAAGCCTTATGGTTGTCTCTTTATTGCATAAGATGCAAGCGTCAAATAATTGCTTTACTTTATCGCTATGCAATAGCAATAGTTGGCAAGACGACCATGTGACAACACATTGATATATATCAAGATGATGGAGATCATGGTGTCATGCCGGTGACGATGGAGATCATGATGATTCTTTGGAGATGGAGATCAAAGGCACAAGATGATGATGGCCATATCATGTCACATATT